CCCAATATCGTCGCAGTAGTCTGTCAATCACCGTACCCAAACGTAGTATATATATAAATATAAACGATAATCGATTGTTATGTGTGTACACTCCCATTCTTCTGTTAATTTGCGGAAATATCATGTGAATTACTTACCTGCCGTAGTAAAAGACGAGAAAACAATGACCACGGCCACGGCCATGAAAAATGCCAATGACACAACACTAGCAACTTTCTCGGCAAGCAGGGTAGTGTTAAACGCTCTGGAAACCTTTAAACTTCATTAGCTGCTATTGCCTGTTCTCTGCAGAACTTCATTAGCTGCTATTGCCTGTTCTCTGGAGCATGTTCTCTGCAGAATTTCATCCACTATGCCACCTGACCTCTCTGGACAAAGTTATCATTAGCTGCTATTGCCTGTAAGTAATAATTCTTTCGATCTATTATTAAACTCATCATATGTGTGTATATGCATATAAAGTATCCTAACAAGTACTATATATATGCAGATTTACAATGACAAAGCGTAGAAAGGAAGGCTGCAATGAAATTAGTTTTGTTGATCCCCACATAGTATTCAAAGACCCAGTTACTCCAAAGCCTAATTGGAAGTCTGAGTCAGAGAGTAACCTCATGAACTTCTTAATGAACCAACGCCACAAGAAGGATATACTCTTTCCCTACAACTTCAAGTGAGTGTTAATAATGTCGATCATCCTTAATGGCTCATTTGTTGATTCTAGTTAATTAATGAGTATTATGCGTTATATCCTATAAACACATGCAGCAATCACTGGATATTGATGGACATCAATCTGGTGAAAAGTCACTAGATAATCTATGACTCGATGAGAAAACCACAACAAGACTACCAAGATATGATAGATATTATCCAGAGGTAATTTCGGTATCTCTAGCAACTATATATACACACAAACATGATGATTAACTATATCTGATGACGTGGCAAATTTTTTATTGGGCAGTGTTTGGAAAACCTTTATTGAGAAGCAACACATGGGAAAATGCAAAGTGCCACTGAATGTAATCCCTTTGAAAGTAAGTCCCCTAAATCGCATCATCTTTATTAATTAAACATGTAGCTTTCACCGGATCAACAGATTGGATGACAAATCTTTTTCTCATAAAGTGGTGTCTGAGGCAGGAATAGGGGAACAACTACTGTGGTTACTATGTTTGCAAGTTTATCAAGGAGGTCTCCCAAAGAACTCCTATAGAGAGACTCAAATTACGTTAAAAATACACTATATATTCATTTAATTATTATTATTGATTGTGTTACTATGTCTTTATATATATATGTATGTACATATATTAATTTATTTTCCTTTAATTCAAACCTGTAGGCTCGATGGTTGGAGGAAAAGGTCAAACGGCAAGACCAAATCAAAGCAATTCAAAAGTCTATAGCCGAATTTTTTAATGATCAGGTCATCGATTCCAAGGGCGAGTTCTACTTCGACCCAACACTGCCATGGAAGCCAAGCTAGAGGATGAGAGGAAACTTGTTATATCACAACAACTGTAATGCAATCTTTTGTAATATATGCACATGAAATAATATAATGTAAAATACACATATGCATGCATGCATGTAAAAATATATATGATGCATGCATGCACATATATATATATTTGTATGCTTGAATTGTGTGATTTAATTCGTTCATTGTGCTTGAACCGAAACATACTATACGCGCGTATAAATGTATTATTAGCAGCGTACAATATGACTTCGAAAACCTATTTTGAAAAGAAAACAAAAAATGGAAAGAAAAGAAAAGAAAAAAAAACTTTAGTCCCGGTTCGTATTACCAACCGGGACTAAAGGGTGCCAGCCTCGTGGCATGTCAGGAGGCACCTTTAGTCCCGGTTGGTGTTACCCACCGGACTAAAAGTCCCCCTTTAGTCTCGGTTCCTGACCGGGACTAAAGGACCCCCTTTAGTCTCGGATGCTTGCTTCCGGGTGGGGAACCAGGACTAGAGGGGGTTTCCCATCGGGAGTAAAGGCCATCTCTGTACCAGTGTGTTTAGGCGAACACGAGGTAAATCTAGTTCAGTTTTGTATGGATAAATTTGTATACTTAAGTTTATTATATTTATAAATGTGTACACTTGATATGTAACATGCATAAATATGTATATTTGGTTTTTTTCACATGCATAAATATATATACATACCAAAATAATTGATTTTTACTCGGATAAATATGTATAAATGCTAGAATACTTGATTTTTTACATGCACATATATAATTATATGTATTTTTTAAGTACAATACCATTTAGACCGTTTAACTTCATTTAAACACCACGTAAACAGCCTAAACGCTAAACGAAGGACGACCGTGTAAAGACCGTTTACCGTTTAGGAAAACATTGGTATTAAGTTTGACTAAATCTATACAAAAAATCATTAACATTTATGATAGTGAATATGAGTCATTAGATTAATCATGGGAATATTTTTTAGTATAGCTACTTAGAGTTATAAATGTTAATAATATTTTATATAAACTTAAACTTAAGGAAGTTTGAGGACTCGGTCCAAACCTAAAATGGCATCTTTTTTGGATGGAGAGGTAGAATTTTCATAACCTACCTAGAGACAAAATGTTTAATACTGTTTTCTATAAATTTATTAGACAAAAGTTTAAAAAAAAAGTCGATTTGATTCAAAGCTAGAATTATATTCTCTTTTCGATTGAACGGAAGGGAATACAAAAGCGTAGCAGCAGACACATTGTACAAACGTTTATTTTTCTTTTCTCACCCAGTATGCATGATACGCTAGTAGCCAGTATGTACCGCTAGCGCACGCCTGCACGCGCATGCCTTAAACTCGTGGGTTTAAAGGCCTTTCGCGTAAACTAGCCAAGCATGCAGAGGTACTACATTAGATCTGCGCCCTATTCGTTTAGGCTGGTTTGGCTTATAAGCCATGACTGAAAATATTGTTGGCTGGTTTAGTGTGAGAGAAAAATATTGTTTGTTGGCTGATAAGCCATGACTTATAAGCCAAATACGACCAAACGAATAGGCTGCTGAGCTGCAATACTGCAGTGGTAGTCCTAGTAGTAGACTTAATCAAACATGGAGTCAGGTTAAATAAAAAAATGTTAGATTAAAATCTTTGGTCGAAGTTTAACATTACATAGTACACACCGGTGGGTCGAGCTATTCGTTAGGTTCAAATTCTTATACTTTGGGTTAGTTTTTTTTTTTTAGATTGCATTAGATCATGGATCAAAAACCATGACCCTAGTTTGATCCGATTGGCGGGTTGCATTGGGGTGTTGGACGACCCATATATGACCAGATAACTAGTAGTAGTCAACAGGGGAGTCCCCTACGGCCCTACCTATTTTTTATTTTTATAGTATTTTTTTGAATATATAAATGGGAAAGAGATTACAATATTTACAGTTTACAATGCTCTTAAAGCCAAGGGGGAAAAGTATTATCAAACATTAAGAGAAAATCTCACACCCCGTAATGAGGGAATCCCTAATTTTCTGCTTGGCCTTGATACAAACCATTCCAAACTCCTCTTTAAAGGCAGTTTTCCAAGTATTGAGATTGAAATTTTTTGGCATCTACTCGACTTCTATATAAACGGTATACATACATATATGATATATAATATAATTTCAGACTTTGTATCAACTTGATGTATTACTTTTAAAAATTTAATAAAAACATTTTTTATCTGAAAAAACGTATAGAACGTTCTACGTCTGCACATACATGAATCCAAGATACGCGGCGTACGTCCGTTTATTGAATCACACAAGGACCTAACCTACGCATGGCTAGCTATGAATATGTAGCACATATATAGGTGATTGCCTAATTGGCAATGTATATGTGTGCATCGGACTTTGCTCGATCGATCAATCAGAGTCGTCAGACACAGATTGATCCTAGCTCCTGCACAGCTACATTTCTCCATACTATATATAGCCTGCTGCATGCTACATCCAGTCCGATCCATTGTTGGAACTTGGATGCATCAATCTCCATCTCATCTCGAGGTGGGAAAGGTTTATTGATTACTCACTGACCTGTGTCTCTGTGTATGTATATGTGTGAGGGCTGCTACTAGCTCCATCAGCTAGCTCTCTGTACTGCTGAAACTGAAATGAGATTTTCTGACCCTTGACTGTGCTACTTTGGCATATGTATGCTTACTTCTGTGTTAATTTAGCAGTATATGCACCAGTGATGAATTAACACCGTTTTGGTTGATGCTATAATTCTGAGCAGTAGTTTTCTGAATAATTTCTTTATAACGTCATCATCTGCTCCACTTTTAATCTGATTATAAATTTCTGCTAGAATTAATGATATAGGAGGAGTATACAGTTTCAGTTTGGTCGCAGGTCCCTGTTCGCTTGTCTTATAATCCGTCATTTTCAGTTTGTTTTTTTAAACGAAATAGTATTTTTTTTCTCACACCAAATCAGCCGGAACAGTATTTTGTTTTTTTTTCCATGAAAGGAACGGGGGCAATAGGCTAGCTAGCTCCACCAGGCCGGCCTGGTTGGTGGCTTGGCGGTGGAGACCGGACGGGGGAGAAGTTATTGATCGATTAGGTGACGAGCAAGCACACACTGGCGATCACCAGCCAGCCTACTGCATCGATGGTACATGTACAGTTGCCAGTGTCTCAAAGTCTTGCACTCCCTACTAGCAGTAGCAGGCCCGGCCGTCGACAGCTGACATGTACAGGGTCCCTCCCTCTCTTAACACTGCTCACTGCCAACTTATCCATCAATGGAGATTAATGATTTGCTCTTATCATGCATCCCCCTCTCCCATCTTTCTCACTGTCTTCTCATCTTTTATATAAACCACCATGAGCAACGGCACCAATGAGTAGTAGCCAACCTTGCTCTCCACTTCCTTCCAAGTGCCAACAAGTCCCTCTCCTCCTCCAAAGAGACCAAACCATAAGATCAAGAGAATAGTTGCAGGGAGGCACAGGGATCTTCTTCAATGGCGGATTTCTCACCGAACAACTCGCTCCTCCTCAAGATGCCTAGCCACTCCCCAAACTTCTCAAGCCTCCTGTTCTACGGCCAGAACCATGGCGAAGCAGCGCCTGCAAATGCAAATGCAGCAGCAGCAGCAGCAATGGTGGAGAACGCTTCACTTGAGAGCTCTTCTGCAGTGGTTGACACCTCCCCACAGGACAGTGCATCTCCAATGGAGAGGAAGAGGAAGACTACAGAAGACAGTGCCACGCTGAGCTCTGCTCAATCCAAGGTAGTAGCAACTTACATACACAGCCACCATTATTGCCATTTTCTCTGCAACATTGTTAAAAAAAAATGCATTTTGGTTTATAGGATTGCAAGCAGGAGAGCAAGAGCAAGAGGGGGAAGAGGCCCCACAAGGAGACTGAGGAGAAGAGCACCACTGAAGATGAGGCCACCAAGGGGTACATCCATGTGAGGGCAAGGAGGGGTCAGGCAACAGACAGCCACAGCCTTGCAGAGAGGGTACACTTCCCACTCTAATCCTTGTAGCATTAATTTGACAGTTAGTCGTGTGTAGTTTGGTTTCAGTTTCTGCCCCCCTTTCATCTCTTACATGAACATCGCCTCCTGATGGCATTTTTTGTTGGCCTTAGGTGAGGAGAGAGAGGATTAGTGAGAGGATGAGGATGCTGCAAGCACTGGTCCCTGGTTGTGACAAGGTCAGATTAATTACTTGGATTAACTATATGTAATATCTGCTAAGTTATAGGTCATCTAAGTAGTAATAATAACTTTGAGAAGGAACAAATGTGCTTTTTGGGCAGGTTACTGGAAAGGCCCTGATTTTGGATGAGATTATCAATTATGTGCAGTCCCTGCAGAACCAAGTTGAGGTAAAACACAAACCATGAAGCATTAAATATATTGGTGCTAAAAATGCGGCACTTTAGACGGTTCCAGACAGCAATTTGCAAATCATAATCCCACCTGTTTTTTTTTTCAGTTCCTTTCCATGAGGATTGCCTCCATGAGCCCAGTGCTATATGGGTTTGGACTGGACAGTGATGGCCTCCATGATCACGCACAAGTATGAAACAAACAAAATCATTTTTACAGTCTAAAATATATGGTGAAATTAATTGATGTTAAAATGTTTAAAATGTTTTGTGCAAAAAATTGTGCTGTTTCAGAAGATGGGAGGCATGTTCCAAGAAGCTCTTGCAATGCCAGGTCCAGTGATGAGCCAAGCTAGCCCAGCTCCATCTCAAGCCATCATGGACACCACCTCCACCACACCCTACCCACTGCAGGGCCAGGGTTCCATCTCTTTCTCTCAGGTTGGCATGTGTTCCACTTCCTCTCATATACTACATGCAAATATCCAAACATATCAGCATCCATCCATCATGTTTTAACCAATATGAGGTCACTCTTTTTCAGGAAAATGGCAGCCCTTACCTGATGCAGGAAGCAGTGGGGGAGCCAACAAGGCAGGAGCTGCTCAACCAGCTGGTGTTCAACCATATGTGCTCTTTCCAGTAGGGGAAGAGTAATTGGGTGAGAGGAAGAGAGAAGGGACCCCACATTGACAATAGGTACTATTGCAAGCTAAGTTCATTGATTGGGAGGCCTACTAAAAGGTGCCTCTGGCACCTCCGGTCTCATGTCTGAAAATTACACTTCACCTACTCTGATTGAATTATTAGGCCATCATGCTAATCTCCGTTTAATAACATTTTCTTTGCTGGTCTCTGAACAGGAGGAAATAATGCTGCAAGATTTGGTAGGAGCACCAGATGAGTTTGAGATGTTGGATCTAGTCCATCCCCTTGTCTGGATTTGGAGATAGCAGCAAGTAGAGCCTGCTGTTTATTTACACATTTTCAGAGACTTTGTAATATTTGTAACTCCTGTATTAGGCATTGTCCATGAGGATTTTCTCAGCGGCTGCACCTGTCATCGTCACCAGCTCACCGTTGTAGTCTTTGAGCAATCGGTTGTTCTTTGCCAAACAGTGATTAACCGTTTCATTCAGTCCAACTCCCAGCATCTACGTACAAATCATTGCATTGTTTTCTTTAAACCAAGAATCTAACAAAGTGAGAATGCATGGGAGTTCTTACATCTGTAGTTCAATCATTTCAAATGCAAAGAGTGATGGACGATCAGTTTGTTCCCATGCTCTCTCTTGCATCAGGTATGGGCACAGCTGTCTGACTGACTTCGTGTCCTTGGCTCTCTTTGACTAGTTGAGACGGTCTTTGTACTGTTTGTTCATGTGAGAAATAAACTCAGTCGTATACTCCCTCTGTCCCATTGTATTTGTCGCTACAGAAACGTGCAGGTCAAATTTTCTCAACTTTGACTATGTTTTTACAAAATATTAACAACATTTGTACATCTCCAAGTAAATTTATTATGAAAATAGGTTTAACGATCTATCTAATGATATTAATTATGTACCGTAAACATTAATATTTTCTTGTATATATTTGGTCAAAGTTGTGTTCGTTTGACTTCACGGAAGGAAAGTGAGAACGATATATAAATAGGGACCGAGGGAGTAAATAGAATTTCATCGGCATCTAAGGTATGATAGGGTGTGTTTGCATCAGTTATGGGCAGAGCTGTCAAAGGTCTCTCTTTTTGTGTCTATGTGTGTGTCTCTCCTGCACTCTGCCTGCATGCGTACATGTAATAAAGTGTATCCTAGCTACATGAGCATTGAGCAATGATAGGCCAAGCCCCATCGACACAATGCTACTTGCTCCCTTTAGTATGTTTTTGGTTTGAGGGCATAGTCCAGTGGGATGGAGCGCTCTTATTCTAGTTGAGCCACATGATGGTCTATGTTCTTTGTTTGGTTAAAAAGATGGAATCTTCTTTGTTATTCATTTGGTCAAGGGACACTGAAAAATGGGACAAGACACTTGACACGAGAGATTCACTCATTAGTCTCTCTTCCTTTCTTTCTTTCTTCTAGCCCCCATCTGGCACTACACGCGTTGGAGATTGCCTCACTCATGCTCGAGCTTGAGGTCTCCACGCCCCCTCCCCCCTCCCTTCGTCCGAGCTCACCTTGCCCGGCCCCCTCCTACCGCCCGAGCTCACCTCGACCTCGCTGACTGTCGGAGCAGCTCGCCCTTGCCTGCCACCAGAGCTTTCCTCACCGCAAGCTGGTGATCCGGTCGTGCCCCATCAAGTGTCACCTATGTCGTGTTGTCAACCCAGAGCTCCTCAGCTCCTCCCCGCCCCTACACACACCACTACCACACCACTCACGCTAATCCCTTTTTTGTCCCTTACCATCTCTTCTTTTTTTTAGTAAAAGAACCAACTCTCATCTAAGCCGAACACTCCTCTACATTGACACAGTACAACTGTACCCCTCTCCCCCTACTCATGCTAATCGTTCTTCATCCCTTCATTTTTTTTTTTGAAAACAGAGCATTTTTAGATAAAGGACAGAAATCTGGCCTCTATATCCACACGTGGATATATACAACCAAAGTTTACAGAAGTCACTAGACTCTAAGCCTCAAAACTAAAGTACAAAAAAAAAAAGAGCAACAAGACTAAAAGAGCTAGAAAAACTAAGCTTCCAACTTTTATGCCCTTGCTTCAAAACTGCTTTGATCTTGTGAGCTACCAATCCTTCTCCCCTATGTTGACCACTTGCGCTAATCCTTCTTCGTCCCTCACCGTCCTATCGTTTGCTGAGAACAGAACCAACTCTCATCTAAGCCGAATATTCCCCTATGTTGACGATTGTATCTCCCTCGACCTAGAACCAAACAGTGGTTGTTTCAGGAATGCTAGCTACAAAGAATAAGCACTGAAATTATTTGCAAATGAAGCGTGGAACTGGAAGTTCACAGGTTTTATTTACATACGCATGCATTGTTTTCAGAATCTTCCGGACTTTTTCATAAGATAATTGACACTTGGGTCTCTTGGCATCTGTCTGGCTCTTCAAATAAAAAAAAGATTAAAAGAAGGAGAAGAAATGCAGTTGGCTAATCAAATCACACAGCACCATCATCATCAGCCTTGCCCTACCACTGCAACAGAAACCGTCCCACAGACTGGCATGTCTGCGGCTCTGCCTGCAGCTGCAATACGTCACAGAAGTCCCACTCATCTCTCCCAGTGACCACTGACAGTGATTTTGCTACCACTTGGATTTAATAATTAATACTCTACCGGTAAAATTATCATCATCCACTGCCGGGGCCTTGATTATTTGCTTCAGAACATGTCTCTCTGCAGTCCTGACCTGCTAGCTAGCTAGAGAAGGCTGCTCATGATCATATTTTCCCTTTCACTGTAAATGCTCTGTACGTTCATTTCCAGAGGAGGTACGTATTTCATCAAGTTCAGTACACATATCAAGCAACAAAAGCTACCTAGCTCCAAAAAAGTCTCTCTGTATGATATACACGCTTCCTTACAGAATTTTGTACGTAAAAGATGAGCGAATTTCCACACGGTGTTTGAATGAGCCCCTAGCTACAACCATTTGTAAACGTACTGCATGCATGGTACTACCGATGTTGTAATCACACCAAATGATTTTTGTACATAGAACAGTGTTAATTCAAGGAGTTATGCCCCGTTCGCTTGGCTGATAAGTCATGGCTGAAAGTACTGTTGGCTGAGTTGTTGTGAGAAAAAAATATTGTTCGTTGGCTGAAAAAGTACGGCATGCCTTGTTCGCTTGGCTGATAAGGTATGGCTGAAAGGACTGTTGGCTGATTTGTTGTGAGAGAAAAATACTGTTCGTTGGCTGAAAAAGTACGGCTTATAAGCCAAGCGAACGGGCGTTAATAATGTCAGTTTTATTTGTTTCCCAGCAGCTTCTCTGAGAAAATTAAAGCCACAGTCATCATTGTGTTTGTGTTCAAGCCTCTGGAGCCATTCAGATTCAGAATTCGCATTCAAGCATGCAGCTATCGCTGAGAAACTTCCAAACCACGCTGTGCAGTGCAGGGATAGATTCAGTACCAGTTTTAACTGCTCCACATGGCAGACTTGCTACTCGCTGTTTTCGTGAGGGAATGACTGTAGCAAATGCCATTTTTCCCCAGTGTAATTTGCCTCCCTCCTGCCCTTCAATTCCCTACAGACCTCTCGGTACGTAGTACTTCAGTTTTCATGCGCTGGCTGTAGTTTTTTTCTTGCATGTTTCAGTGCGGTAAAGACGTAAGGGGCAAAATAGTTACTTTACTTCCGTGAGATAGCTAGCACTGACGTTTGTACATGGCAAGAGTTAGCCTTGCTTGCATGCAACAATAAGTTGGCAAAGACTTTGTCGTCGCTGCCGTGGTACACTGTGAACAACATTACGCCCTTGTTGACCAAGGATCTGTTGGCGTTTACTGGTTCCGTGGTACATCGTATGCTCTAAGGGGCCCTGGCTTCGTCCGGCTCCGGCTCACACAGTAGCGCTATTGTAGCGGAGTCAAAAAAAAAAGTGTAGTTTCAGCAGCTCTTTCGTTTTTACATTTCATTTGTATCAGAGCTGAGCTGGAGCTGTTTCCCCGTTACCTATGCACAGAGAGCGGTACCAGACTAGCTCTAAAGTCCCCGTTTGGTGGATTTTATCTCCTTTCTCAAAATTAACTAGGAGACAGTGACTTCAACGACTCCAATTCCATATATAATAGCCGGAGCTAATGTTAAGAGTCATTCCAAATAGGGCCTAAGACAACACTTGTATGCATTGAGTATTTGAGAGACGCACTCAAGCTAAATATCATATAAAGTAAGCGCTCTCAAACTCTCAAAGGACTCGATTTTTATAAGAGAGATGCAAATTTTATTGAAGGACAGATACAAACACAGAGCCAAATAGACTCGCTACGTGTTCTCCACAGGGAACCTCTTTAACAGCACAAAACATTACATAGAAAACCCAAGCAGTGGTTCAACAAACAGAGCCATCTCTGTGCTACCTAGGTGCGTGCTGGGCTCTCTTTACTGTCTCATTAACTAGGCAAGAAGAGATGTAATCCCTCCCTCCTAAAATAACTATCGTTCTCACTTCCCGATGAATCAAGCACTTTTAACTTTGACCAAATATTTATATTACAGAACTCACTCGTAATTGATTCTCTCCGCTCCTAGCCTTTTTCTTCGCCTGACGCCGCCAACAACCAATAGCACTGTAGACTTCAACAACCTTCGGCTAGCCTTTTGAAAGAAAGAAGAGCAACATGGATGCATCATATATACCTCCAATTAATCTAGGCAGCTGATTCACTGCTACTGTACTGTGAATGAAATATTAGATCGAGCATGAACAGGGACATGCATGAATTGAATTTCGTGGGGGCGAGCTCTGGGGTCCTGAGCTGTAACTGTTTTGCCGTTGCCGCATACTGCGACTACACTACTGCATGCATCGATGCGTGGTCCTTTGTTGGGGACGATGATTATTGAGAAGACGATCGATGCGTCCATGTTGCTTGGGCTCCCCTCTAGATTCAAGACCTTTTAACCACAACGCATGTGCCTTGTTAAGCATTGCCGTGCCCTAGGAA